TGAGTTTCATTTAAATGTAATTATACAATATATACAATAGGAATGTCTTCTTTCATTCATCAATATTTTTGTGACATTCACTCATATGTAGCAGTAGCTTTTAAAAAAATTGCTGAATAGTATTCCATAGTATGCATATAACACTGTTGATGGACATTTAGATTATTAATTATTAACTTTTGGCTTTTATTAACAAAGCTGAAATAAGCAATCTTTATTATAATTTTTTTATTGATTGATTTTTGAAGAAGAGACATTGATTTGTTCTTCCACTTATTTATGCAATCATTGGTTGATTCTTTTTTTTTTTTTTAATTGATTTTAGTCCTAGCTGGTTTGGCTCAGTGGATAGAGCATTGGTTTGAAGGGTCCCGAGTTCAATTCCAGTTAAGGGGATATGCTCAGGTTGCAGGCTCAATCCCCAGGAGGGGATGTGCAGGAGGCAGCCGATCAATGATCCTCTCACATCATCAATGTTTCTATCTCTCTCTTCTTTGAAATCAATTTTAAAAACTGATTTTTAGAGAGAGAAAAACATTGATTTGTTGTTCCACCCATTCACAAATTCATTGGTTGATTCTTGTATATGCCCTAACTGGAGATCAAACCCAAAACCTTGGCATATCAGGTTAACGCTCTAACCAACTGAGCTACTGGGCCAGGAGTTGCAATGAGCATTCTTATGTTTCTTTCTGTGGACTTGTGTATTCCTTTAGAGGAGAGGAGCTGCTGGCTATGTTGATCAGCAGTAGTAAATATTGCCAGTTTTGCAAGTGTTTGTAGCAGTTCTCATCTTCACCGGCAATGTATTAGGTCTAGTAATAATTAATGTCGTTTTCTAATACTTTTTTAAATCGAATTTATTTAAACAATACAACAAAATTTAATCAACAATATAGTTGCCATTGTTTTCTACTACTTGTGCCCAATGCTCAGGAAGCATTTTAATCCCTCTGTTGTAAAATTCTTGTGATTTTGATGCCAAAAATTCGGTCAATGCATTTTTGAGGCATTCTTCATTATTAAATTTTTTTCCAAGAAGAAAGTTTTGCAAAGAACGAAACAAATGGTAATCGGAAGGGGCAATATCAGGAGAATATGCAGGTTGAGGGAGAACTTCCCATTCCAACTAGCGCAGTTTTTCAGCAGTGATTCTTGCAGTATGCGGTCGTGCGTTATCGTGGTGAAGAATTACGCCCTTCTGATTAATCAGCGCGGGTTCTTTTTCTCTTAAAGCTTGGGCTAACCTTTCCAATTGGGCACTATACACTGCACTTGTAATGGTTTGGTTAGATGGTAAAAGTTCATAATGAAGAATTCCTTTAAAATTCCACCAAACACACAACATCACTTTTTTCGCATACAAGTCAGGTTTTGGCGTGGGCTGTGGAGCCTCATTTTTGTCCAACCATTGAGGCCGCCTTTTCAAATTAACATACAGCACCCATTTTTCATCTCCGGTAACAATTTGCTCTAAAAACGGCAAACGGTTTTGACGAGAGAGGAGCGAACTGCAAATTGTGACTCTTTGATTACGGTTGTTGTCGGTCAACTCATGAGGAACCCATTTTCCAAACTTTTGGACTTTGCCAAGTGCACGCAATTGATTGGAAATTGTTTTTTGTGAACAATTTAAAGTTGTCGCAACCTCTTGTTGGGTAATTTGAGGATTGATTTTGCACCAAAAGAGCTTGAGGAGCTTCTTGATCAAAATTGGACACACGGCCTCGACCACTCTTGTCATCTAACGAAAAATTTCCCTCGCGAAATTTCTCAAACCAACGCTGGCATTTTCTGGCGCTAACTGCATCTTGACCAAGAGCACTACAGATATTTTTTGCAGCCTCACTTGCTTTTCTTCCTAATTGGAACTCGTAAAGCATGCAGTGCCGAATATGCTCTTCATCCGCCATCTTCTTAGCCCTAGTTTTGCAACAAAAACCAAACCAAACACAAACTTTTTCAAGCAAAACTTGTTAATTGAACTTCACACGTTCTGTAGATACCACGTGTTTGAAGGTTATGTCAATACAAGTCAACGCCAAGTAAGATTTTAAATGAATGTTTAAAAACGACATTAATTATTACTAGACCCGATAAGAGCTCTAGCTGATTTTTAACCTTGTCAATACTGGGTGCTGCCAGTCTTTTATTTTTAGCCATTTTGGTTAAAGGTGGCATCTCTTAACATATAGTTCTTATTTACAGTGTCTCTGGTGTTGAGAGCCTTTCCATGTGCTCATTGGCTATTTGGATATCTTCTTTTGTGAAATACTTGTTCAAATCTTTTACTTATTTATTTTTTACTGGGCTATTTGTCTTCTTATTGATTTATAGTTCTTTTTATAGCCTTGATATGGAATTATTTGTCTGACGTATGCTTGCAAATATCTTTTTCCAAGTCTGTAGCTTGTCCTTTCACTCTCTTTACTGGTGTCTTTTGATACACAGAAATTCTTAATTCTAGTGCAATAGTTGTGTTTTCTTTTATGATTAATGCTTTTTACATAAAGTTTAAGAAATCTTTGTGTACAGGGTTGGTAATATTTTATTTTAAAAACTTTTTTTTAAACAGTCATCTTTTATTAAGTACAATATGGAAGGATTCACAGGTGCTGGACAAAGGTCATGGTCAGGAATATGGAGTCCACATTGGGCCCTCTTCAGTTTGAGTTCCTTATACGAATGGCAGTAGTAAGTTGAAAAACACAGAAGCTGCCAGCACCATAGAAACCCCATCGATGCTCCCTTTCTTGACATTGGTATACTTGTTGTAATACCGATAGAAACCTCTTTGGAATGCTTCAGCAGTGCCTTTAGGGGTGAAATCCTGTATCAGTATTAGCTTGGCAGCTCCTGTTTTGACATCCATGATTTTCTCCTCCTTCAGTGGTACTAGTGACATCATTTTGGAGTTGAGGATATTGTTGGTGGGATTTTAGCAGGGAATCATGAGGAAGAGATTTGCAAAGGAGATAGAGCAAGCCCGAGGCCCTGCTGTGAATAAGTGAGGGTGTAGTTTGCAGTGGGCATGGGAAGGCCTGGAGTTTGGGCTGTAAAGAGAGTGAGGCAAGACAAAGCTGGGAGGGTAGGCAGGAGGCATAGTGCAAAAGGCTTTAGCTGCAGCCTTGGAGTCTGGACATTGTTCTGGAGGAAGTGGAGGCACTGAAGGAATATTTATGGTAGCATCTATGGTCTAAATGTCTCTAACAGCATCCCTTCTTTTACATGCCCAACTGCCATTACCTTTCTTCAAGATCTCACAGTCTCTTATCTGGAATACATCAAGTCACTCAAGGGTTTCTCCGCTTCAGTTCTCTCCACATCTAATCCATTCCTAGAATAGCTGGTGTGATCATTCTAAAATGGCAATTATTCATAACTCTCCACAGCTTCAAACCCCAAACTTGGCCCTCAGTGCCCTTAAGATAAAATAAAACCTCTTGTATATGGTTTTCACCATTTGTGATATGTTTGCTTATTCTTCCTGGCTGACCTCAAGCCTCATCTCCAAGGAGAGCCTTGCCTATATCCTAGGTGCCTGTGGCAATCATCTGTCATAGTCAGATAGGTCTGTCTCTTCCAGGAGACAGTAAACTCTCAAAGGTCGAAAGTTTGCTGAATTTAGGTATTTACTGGGTATGGTTTCCAAGACCCTGGATGACCTGATTCCAATTCTGTATCCCTAATTTCTGAAACCTTGGTTCCAGCTATTCTGGGTTTCTTTTCTGCATCAATATATGTTGCACAATGCAAACCCGTAAGTGTGATCACTGCCCCTTTCTTCCCATTTTTGCCTTGAAGATGCCTATTTTTTCTTCCTCCTCAACATACTCTCCTGTGCTTCCAAAGTGTTGTTTCTCATAGCACTTAACACATTGAAGCTTTTGAGGGCAAGAATCTTGTTTTTTTCTTCTTCATTTAACATTCTAGAAAATAACATGGTGTTAAGCTCCTTCACATCTGTCCTGATTTCTGCACTCTATAAAGCACAAAGGGCAAATAGAGGTCTTTTCCTCATCTTCAAGACCTGAAAGTTGGAGAGTCCCCACTTGAATCTCCTTTTCCAGTGAATTTTCTTTCTCCTAAACTCTAAGGCTCCCCACAGGATGTGCAACCAGTGGAGCAATAGGCAGGGACATTGCTGTCTCCAAGCCCATTTTTTTTTCTGACTTTTCAGTGAGCTGACAACAGCCCCGCCTTGGCTCACCTCTTTCCCATAACATTTCTAGAGAGTCAAAGCAGGCCTGCCTAGGCTCGCTCCGGTTGTTTTATCTTAGGCCCTTCCTTTTCCCAGCTTTAATAAACATATTAAAAAAAAAAAAAGACCTGAAAGCCTGCGGTGTATACTGTACTTTAAAGGAATCAGCCTAAGTATTCAGTTATTATGTAGCCATCTCCCTTTGCCATCTTCCAGTGGAGTTGATAAGTCCCAAATGCAGCCATGAATGCTATTTTGGTTACAGAGGCATTGTTGACTCAACCCAGGTCTTGCTTATTTTAAAACATTTTCTGAATAGATGTCAAGAACATTGTCTTTGGCTTCAGATAGCCTAGGTGCCAAAGCAGACTTTGCTTTTTACTGGCTTTTGGATTTTTTAGGTGTAGTTAATTCACCTGAAAAATGGGGATTATATTGTAGGCCTAGAATTATGAAAATGACAATGTACAGCACTTAGCACATGAAAAAAACGATTAATAAACAGTTATTAGGATTGTCTCCATACGCCAGGGCAGCCCCAGTCGCCATAGGGAACTCCTGGGGGTAAAGCTCCACCAAAGGGGTGGATTTCAGATCCAGGAAATGGTGATGGTGATAGCTTGGGCCCCAGTACTGCCTAAGCGGTCGCCAATCTTTCGGACCCGCGCGGACCACGGGTTGGCGACCGCTCACCCCGACTCCTGGGCTACAGACCCACAGGGACCCCTTTCTCAGCGAGGGGAACCTAGTGTAGGCGGAACTCGAGTGCGGCGGCGGGAAGCTTCCGGGGGAGCGCTAAAGGCGACGGGTCGGCGGAGGTAGAAAAGCGTCGGACACCGGGTCGATCATGGACGCTTGACAACCCGCGGGCAGGCGCCGGGAGGCCGAGACAGCGAGCTAAAGGACGGAGAGACCGCGAAGACAGGTTGGGGTCAGCGAGAAGGCGGGACCCAGCAGGCCAGGTTAGTCGGGGCTGTTCGGCTTCGCGCCCGCCGCCGGGAAAGCCCGTGGCCGCACTGCCCCGCCCCCGCCCCGGAGAGCGCGCCCCGCGGCTCCTCACTCCGCGCTCGCCTCTCTGGCTGGAGCACGCCGCCGCCGCTCCGCACTCCCCGAAGTCCTTCCTAGCCCGAGACCCTCAGCAGCCGCCCCGCGGCTCCCCTCGCTCCCCCATCCTCAAAGGCTGCCCCTTTGCCTCTCCGCGATCCTTCAAAATAGTGCCCCCCTCGACGGGAATTCATCATCCCTGCGTCTCCAGCCTCCTCCTCGGGCCCGCCCACTCCAGAAGAAAGCGGTCCCCAGCGCCTTCTTACCTCTTTGCCCCCAAGGACTTTGCTCTTTAGGCCGATTTTTTTTTTTTTTTTGAAGAACCGAAATTTCTGCCCATTTGTCGAATCTCAAAGTCCCTTACATTCAATCGTTTCACACGTGTTCCACTTGGAAAGGAGGTTTTCGCTCATCCTCTCCTAGCCATCACCTACCCCTCTTCTTCCTTCCACCTTCTCTCCTCCTCTCCTCTCTCCTCTGGCCTTCTCAGCAATCTTTATTCGCTGGCACTTCACTTTTTTTTGTTTTTGTTTTTTTGTTTCCAACAAGACCTTAGGTAATCTTAAGTGAGGCGACATACTTATTTCTCTTAATACTGTGAAAGGGCTGCTGCTGCCCTGTGTGCCTGCTTCCCCAGGAAAACTTCGTTTCTCTTGCACCAAAGTTGTCGTTCTTTGAATTGTCCTCTGCTTCAGCTTACTGTGATTCTTCGCCTTCATTTTGCCATACTGCCCCAATCCGTACCGTTCTTGGAGGAGTAAGCTTTTCTTATGCAGGATTCCTGTGCAGTAGGTGTGCGGTGTGTGCATTCACATGCACTCAGCCTGTGGTTAGATTATGCAGTTGAGGGACTCTCCTGCCCCTAATGTCTTCATTGTTTTTTTGAGTTTCATACAAATTCTGAAGTCAAGTGTGTGAAGTATCACATATCAAGTAGGAGGCCGAATTGAGAGATTTTTTTTTTTTCATGGACTTACACACCATGTATTTTCTTAGTTTGAATATGTTGTTGCTTATCTTTCAAGATGATTTCCTCCCTTTTCTCTATGCTTCAATAACTTTTCTGATTAAATGAGACACCCTTCTTGGTCTCTTTTTGGATCTTTTCCTTACCTGTACCTGGCTGCAGGTGAGAGTCTAATGAAACACTGGAAGCTGTAACTGATTGCTTTTGCTTATATCTGCCACTTCTGTGTATGGGAAATATTTCCTTTTTCTTAAGGAGTCTATAAGTAAGGTGAATATAAAACAGGCACTGAAAAATTTCCATGTGTTTTAAGTCCTGGTTAGGTTTAAGGGTTTAGAACATGCTGCCTTTGGGAGAGGGTCAGATGGGGATAAAATGGCTTTTACTAAGTATGTTTCAAATTTCAGCATAAGGACAAAATCCCTTTAATTCCAGGTTGAATCCTACTCATCTCACTAAGTGGTCATAGCATCTGGACTCTTTTTTCTTTTTTTCTTTTTGAACACTGTAAAATTATTTAGATATCTGATCCAGCATTAAATAAGCATAGACTTTGCAAAGGGAAGGAAAAATGATGGCAACACCTTTATTTTGGACAGATCTTAAGACCAGAGAATGGCAGGTGAACAGAAACCCTCAAGTAACCTCCTGGAACAGTTTATTTTACTAGCCAAAGGCACCAGTGGCTCAGCCCTCACTGCTCTCATAAACCAAGTCTTGGAGGCTCCTGGAGTCTATGTCTTCGGAGAACTGCTGGAGCTGGCCAATGTGCAGGAGGTAAGGACAATTTCTCTATCTCCTTTATTCTCAGCCTTCATCTGAATATTCAGGTTTACAAGGAATTTCAGTGCCAAAGCACTGTGGACCTGTGAGGTACCCTGTTGAGGGAGAGATGGGAATTGGTGGGACAGGGAAAGAGAGCAAGGATAACGTCTTGGACTCCTACTAGTCAGCATTTTCATCTGAACTAAATTAGATTGGGTTGCTAATCTAATTTTGAAAGATAGGGAAAAGATCCAGTTAAACCTAATAAGTTAGAAACATAGAGTGTAATTATAGACTGATGTTTAACAGGGGTAATTTTAGGCATTCTTAAGGATAAAACCTCCAGGGCAAATATAGACAAGGAAGACTGGTCAGGTGTATAATAGCAGAAAATGTTTGCTGTTGAACCTGAGATAGGCATGAATAAGGAATGTATTTTTCCCGTGGAAAAGGGCAATGTTGTGTAGATGTGTTAAGTAAATGTATAAAAAGGATATGACTGGCAAGCAGTGAAGTAGTCCTTTTTGCTTGTTTGCTTCTTTGTTTGATTTTAGTTATTAAAACCTTGGGTATCCAGTTTTGGTTCTTGTGCCTTAAAAATGAGATGATCCAGTGAAGAATGAATAGGTGGAATAAAGAGATATAAAGCAACTTATACTTTTCAATTTTCACTTCCCATTTTGGATACTTTTATATGGTTATCCCTCAGTATCCTTGGGGGATTGGTTCCAGGACCCCCCTGTGATGCTCAAGTCCCTTGTATAAAATAGCACAGTGTTTGCATATACAGCGGGGTATGCTATCACATCACTTCATTCACATGGATTCATCATAGTGCTTGGGGCGTGGCTAATTCAAGGCTTGCTTATTGGAACTTCCTGGGACTTTCCCTCCCAAATATTTTTGGTTTGTGGTTGGTTGAATCACCAATGTGAAGCTTCTGGATATGGAGAATTACTGTATTTATTTAATTATTTATTTATTTTATAAAGTTAAGTGGCTTGTTTATGTATTTATTTTTTTTAAAATATATTTTATTGATTTTGTACAGAGAGGAAGGGAGAGAGACAGAGAGCCAGAAACATCGATGAAAGAGAGTCATCGATCAGCTGCCTCTTGCACACTCCCCACTGGGGATATGCCCGCAACCAAGGTACATGCCCTTGACCAGAATCGAACCCGGGACCCTTCAGTCCCCAAGCCAACGCTCTATCCATTGGGTCAAACCAGTCCCGGCGAATTACTGTATTTATTTATGGATTGATATTTTTATACTTATTGACTGAGATAGATAGAAGTCTGGTGGCATCTTTATTATTTTGGGGGTTGTGTTCAGGCACTCTTTGTGATAAGGGTTGGCTTCTTTTTTACTATCACAGCTTCTTTCTGGCTGTTAGGATAGTGCTGGCTCTGCAGATGGCTTCCATCACAAATCTGGGCAGTACTTGTTCTTGGGGATTGTGTGCATGATATGGCTAAGGGTAGCCTGGTGTTCTTATTTTTGATGGTCCACACATAGGCGTTTTTATTTTTTATTTTTTATCCTCACTTGAAGATATTTTTTTCCATTGCTTTTTAGAGGGAGTGAAAGGGAGAGGGAGTAGAAAGGAGGAAGGGGGAGAGAGAGAGAAAAAAAACACACACATTGATATGAGAGACACATCAATTGGTTACTCCCCGCACAAGCCCCGACTGGAGCCAGGGAACTTGCAACCCAGTAATGTTGACCAGAACCAACTCTGTGACCCCTGGGTGTGGGGCCAACTCGCTTACCTCTGAGCCCGCCAGCCAGGGTGGAGGTGGTTGTCTTTTGTTGGCTGGTTCTTCACTTCACGACCACGAGGGCACTTCTGCTGTCGGCTGCTGGCTCCACATACAGCTTTGTGGTGAATCAGCCCATTGGAGTAGGAGTTGCAGGCCTTCAGATGACTGGCCTTGCTGCTGTACATCTGCTTATTCCTCTTTTTAAAAAAATATATTTTATTGATTTTTTACAGAGAGGAAGGGAGAGAGATAGAGAGTTAGAAACATCGATGAGCTGCCTCCTGCACACCCCCTGTGGGGGATATGCCCGCAACCAAGGTACATGTGCTTGACTGGAATCGAACCTTGGACCCTTCAGTCCGCAAGCCAATGCTCTATCCACTGAGCCAAATCGGTTAGGGCTGCTTATTCCTCTTAGTGAGGATATTGGAGCAGTTCCTTATGCCCATCCATTGTAGGCACGTGCACATAGCGTCATTTCTCTTCTCTGCAACAGCTGGAGACCAAAAGAGCTGCTTTTATTTATTTAATTGTGAATGTTTTTAAATATCAGTGTTGTTGAGACTTTGCTCCATTGTGCTCACCCTTGTTTCCTTACAGCTTAATATGTAGATGGACACACAGTGGGCTTTCAGTACAAATTTAATATATCAGAGATGGAAAAGGAATGCTACAAGAAAAATTGAGGAGAGTTGGGTTCTTTTTAAAAAAAATAGACTTTATTTTTTAGAGCAGTTAAAAAATATATTTTTATTGATTTCAGAGAGGAAGAGAGAGATAGAAACATCAATGATGAGAGAGAATCACTGATTGGCTGCCTCCTGCGCATCCCATACTGGGGATGGAGCCCACAACCCAGGCATGTGCCCTGACCGGGAATTGAACCATTACCTTCTGGTTCATAGGTTAATGTTCAACCACTGAGCCATGCTGGCCAGGCTAGAGCAGTTTTAGATTCACAGTAAAATTGAAAGGTAGAGATTTACCATATATCCCCTGCCCTCACACATGCATAGCCTCCCCCGTTACCAATATCCCTCACCAATGTGGAGCCTGCATTAACACATCATAATTTACATTGGGTTCACTCTTGGTGCTGTACATTCTATGGGTTTGAACAAATGCAAAATGCCATGTATCCCCTATTACAGTATCATGCAGAGTAGTTTCACTGCCCTAGAACTCCTCTGTATTCTACCTGTTCATCGCTCCCTTCCTTCTAACTCCTGGCAACCATTGATCTATCTGCTGTCGTCGTAATTTTGACTTTTCTATTATGCCGTAGAGCAGCGGCTGCCACCCTTTTGGACCTCACGGACCACCAGTTGGGGACCGCTGCTCCAAGGTTTCCTTAACCAATGGTCGTCAACTTTTTGGACCTCATGGGCCACCAGTGGTCTGGGGACCACCAGTTGGCAAACGCTGCTGTAGAGGGAATCATATAATATGTAGCTCTTTCAGATAGGCTTCTTTCCTTAGTAATATGCATTTAAATCTCCTCCGTGTCTTTTCATGGCTTGATAGTTAATCATTTAAATAGAAGAGATAACTAAGGGATAATCTGTTCCTTCAGGTTCATAAAAAGCCTGAATGAATATGCCAACTAGTTGTTTTGTAATTGTGAAAGATTGGCTAAGAGGAGATAGATGAAAATTAAAACTGGAAAGACCTTATTGATTTGGGCCAGTGGGAGAAGTTTTGGAGCATCTGCTCTAGAGGAAATTGTCTGTTACTGCTAGTTTTGTAATCATCTGTTTGAAAAGTAGGGATTAGATTAGATGGTTTCTTCCACCTCTGACTCAGGACCTCAGGAAGTTGTTAACACACCTAAAAGGTAGACTGGATATTAGGATGCTTGCTCTAATTTGAGGTGTTTAGCAAATCCTTTACCTCCCCGTAGTTTGTTCTGATTTTTCCATATGTAAGCCTCGAATAAGCTGGTTTACTTTCAGTGGTTTGAAATTACAATTGTAGTTTCTTGGAACCATTTATTAAACTTAATAAAATGCTTTTATTGATTTCAGAGAGAGGAAGGGAGAGGACTAGAAACATTAATGATGAGAGAGAATCATTGATCGGATGCCTCCTGCACACCCCCTACTGGGGATCGATCCTGCAATCCCGCGCATGTGCTCTAACTGGGAACTGAACCTTGACCTCCTGATTCATGGGGTTGATGCTCAGCCACTGAGCAACACTGGCTAGGCTTGGAACCCTTTTTTAAAAAGATGGTTAAAATTGAGTAGTATGTCATTGGTGTCCATAGAATAACTTGGGTATTCCTGTTTAGACTTCACTGAGTTTGGTAAATTGGAAGAGTTAACAGGTCATATTTGTGAGTAAAACAAACACCTAGTTAAAGTAATTGACAGCAGAGCAGAGCAGTTCAGGAAGAACACATTCTCTTTCGTTTTTCTTCTAAAGAAAGGTCTTTGACACCAACATTAGTGAGAATAAGTAATTTTAATGAAAAGTTTTATTTAGGGTGCCTGAAATCATGGTTTCTTGTCCCAACCTGGTTCTTCTGTCGCACCTTAGGCTGTGCTAATCTCCCAGTGTCATAGTCTACATGGAGTCCTGAAACTTGGAACCAACCCTACATTTTCTTTAATTTGGATCGATGGTGGCTCATGCTGTACCTGCCAAGGTGGTGTGTGGACAAGATTGCTCCAGTGTTCATTTTAATGGCAAGGGAATCTTGAGAAAACCTGAACTGCTTTGTGTGTCTGGAAGCAAAAGCAGTTCCTTGGGCATGCTATGTGAAATGTAAAAAAAAGGAATTCCTGAGAGAGAAAAGTGAAATTGGGGACTTTAATAATCTTAATACTTTTTCCCCCCAAAGAAAGAGTTGGAAGGGAACAGCTAATAGAATACAGAATGGTGGTACATGGTCACTCGGCTTCTGCTTGAATACTGCCAGTGATTGATGGACAGCTTGGTCTCCGAACTGTTTCTTTTCCTCCTCAGCTTGCAGAAGGAGCTAATGCTGCATATTTGCAGTTGCTGAACCTGTTTGCCTATGGGACATATCCAGATTACATAGGTGAGTTGGTTAAGATCTTCCAAAGACTTTTCTCAGTTATATCCCTCTGTTTAGATGTGTTGCCTCCAAGAAGATCACTAAGGTTTGGGATATAAAGCATGAGGTGGGAACTTCTTTACCTGGCTGTTGTCCATTTTATTGTGCTCTGTAGGTGATCTTATACGAGGACTCTTCCTTCTCACCTTTTATTTCTTTTTAAAAAAAATAGATTTCATTGATTTTTTACAGAGAGGAAGGGAGAGAGAGAGAGGGATATGCCTGCAACTCAGGTATATCCCCTTGACCGGAATCGAACTTGGGACCTTTCAGTCTACAGTCCACTGAGCCAAACTGGTTAGGGCTCACCTTTCTTTCTTTTTTTTCTCTTTTTTAAAAAAAATATATTTTATTGATGATTTTACAGAGAAGAAGAGAGAGGGATAGAGAGTTAGAAACATCAATGAGAGAGAATCATTGATCTGCCTCTTTTACACCCCCTACTGGGGATCTACCCGCAACCAAGGTACATGCCCTTGACTGGAATCGAACCTGGGACCTTTCAGTCTGCAGACCGACGCTTTATCCACTAAGCCAAATCAGTTTCGGCTCACCTTTATTTCTTTTCTTTTTTTTTTTAATTTAATATATTTTATTGATTTTGTACAGAGAGGAAGGGAGAGAGATAGAGAGTTAGAAACATCAATGAGAGAGAGTCATCGATCAGCTGCCTCTTGCGCACCCCCTACTGGGGATATGCTCGCAACCAAGGTACATGCCCTTGACCGGAATCGAACCCGGGACCTTTCAGTCCCCTGCCGACGCTCTATCCATTGAGCCAAATCGGTTTCGGCTCACCTTTATTTCTTAATGGGTTAAATGGGGACTATGTTTATGCTCATCCATAAATATAGCCCTTGTTTACTTTCCAGATGATATTCTTGAGGACTGGTGTTTGTAGAACACTTGGAGTGTTGTGAAATGTCAGAATATCCACTTGTAAAGGAAACATTTTAAATATTATCAAAATATTATTGCTATACTATATTGAAGAAAATTTGGAAAATAGTGGTGGTGGGGGGGAGAATCACTCATAGTTGTACCAGTGTTAAACTGCTGTTAGTGTTCTGGTGCTGGATTTCCCCCCTCTGCTTGGGTTTTCTATTATGTATGTGTAATTAGATTATGTACACAATTTTATATCTTGCTTTCTCCCCCACTTATTTCATAGGTATTTATTCATGTTTTAAGTCTGTGAAATCATTTTTAGTACTTCACAGTCTGCTACTCCATAATTGACTTAGTCCATTCTCTTCTGTAGGTAATTTGAGTCATTTAAAATTAGAATAATAAATATTAGGAATGAAGTCCATGCATGTCCAAATGCTAACTTACCTCCCACCCAAGCCATTTTTGTCCCTGGCTTATTTTAGTGGCATGACAAAGGCCTGGTAGTTTATTTTAGTGGTGTGACTCAGAGCATTCCCTACTATATCCCTGACTTATCCTCTTTCTTGCTCATCACTTCTGCTTACTCTTTGCTGCTGTCAGGCTATATAGTTTACCACTTGCCAGTTTTTCCTGATCTTCACTTTGTTCAATGAGTGTGTCCTTTGTTTCTGTCCTCACTGTAGAGGCAGAATTGCACAAACTCTGGAACCAGATTGCCTGCATATTCTATTTTTTTTTTTTTTTTAAAGTTTGGACTGTTTTTTTTTGTTTGTTTTTTTTAATATATTTTATTAATTTTTCACAGAGAGGAAGAGAGAGGGATAGAGAGTTAGAAACATCGATGAGAGAGAAACATCGATCAGCTGCCTCTTGCACACCCCCTACCAGGGGTGTGCCCGCAACCAAGGTACATGCCTTTGACTGGAATCGAACCCGGGACCTTTCAGTCCGCAGGCCGATGCTCTATCCACTGAGCCAAACCGGTTTTGGCTGCCTGCATATTCTAGCTCCACTTCCACTGGTTGTGGCCTTAGAAAATTAAATAATCTTCTCTGCCTCAGTTTCCTTCTCTGTAATAATCCAGGTTTATAGTCCTCTACCTGTACTTCTTGGGCAAAATGTTTCAGAATTTAGAATTTGTGAGAATTAAAAAAGGTAATATGATGCATCTGCATTTTTATGTAACACCTTTGAGGGGTGTGGGCAGTCCTTGTAGTCAAACACAATCATAATTTGTTTAGTCCTCACCCAAGAATATGTTTTCTATTGATTTTTTAGAGAGAGAGGAAGGGATTAAGAGAGAGACAGATAGACAGACAGATATGGATGTAAGAGAGAAATATCATCAGGTATCTTCCCCTGTGTGCTCTGACCGGGGAGGGAACCTGCAACCTAGGTATGTTCCCTGAGCAGGAATCAAATCCCAACCTTTTGGTGTACAGAACGACATTGTAGGCAACTGAGCCACTCAGCCATGGCTGCAATCATAGTTTTGTAGCAAAATAAGTGAATGTTCACAAGTGGGATAAAAAGCCCACCTTAATTCAGGTTAGGGATTGCTAATAGATGAATTTTAGTACTATGCTCAAGGAGAAATAAGATCAATTTGGATTTACCCTTTTGGAGTCCAGTATTATGGGTGAGGACTTGAGAGCTTTTAGAATCTATCTCAAGTGTTGTTGTGAGGCCTTGTTGTATGTATGAACCTCTGGATCTGTGTGTGCATCTACACTAAGTTAAGCTTGTCCTGTATGTTACCTGTGGCTGCCGCCATGGCTATGGTTAGCGTCATTGCTATTACTGAAATTCTGCCTATCCTTCAAGGCTCATCTCAAACTCTTATGTTTCTTTTTCCACCTCTCCTGTACCTCCCAATGTGATTGGACTCACTCGTTCTCGGTCTTTCTCCTACCCCTCTCCCCCTTTCCTAGCTCTGTCTCTCCCTTTCTCCCACATCCCTTCCCCCTCTCTTCCTCACCCTTTTGCTCTCTTGTGATAGTTTGGACCTTCTATTAGTTCTGCCTTGCATTTGTAGCTGTTGAAATACTACCTGCTTGTAACACTGAGGATGAGTCCAGGGCCACTGAGTGACATAGCTCCAGGTGGTTGGTGCCCCTGGAGATGTGTAGTGCAGCAGTCCTGTCAAGGCCCATCTTATTTATCCTCAGTGCCCCTGAATCATTTAAGATTGTGCCTTGCACAGAACAGATGCTCAGTGAAGATGTGTTGAACTTGATTGAATGTCACAAAGGGTACAAATAGTACTATTCCATTAGGTTAATTGTCATCATTTTGTGCATTCATGCCTGGATTTTCAGGTGTTTAAGCTCCTTGTGTGTAGAGACTGAGTCTTGTCTTCTTTGGAAGCACATGGTCTTCCAGAAAAGACAGGAAGTGCTCATGGAACATTTGCCTAATGAATAAGTGAAGAGTCATGAACGACTTAGTAGTAGATTTGGTGTGAGGAAATGGTGTGCTTATCCCATAAAGAAATCCTAATTTTATTTTGTGTCTTGATTTTTGTGGTGGGTGGGACTGAGCAGCCAACAAGGAGAGCCTGCCAGAACTGAGCACAGCTCAGCAGAACAAGCTGAAGCACCTTACCATCGTGAGCTTGGCGTCGAGAATGAAGGTACAGTTCTGAACCCTTTCCTGTCTCCTCCTCCCCTGAGGCAGGTCTGTAATTGGCATAAATGTGGGAATTCCCAGCTATGCACAGTAGAGCCATAGCATAAATGCATAAGATTTGCTTGGCAAAGGACAAAAGATAAAAAGATAATTAAAATAGTGTTGACAATAACTCACCCTCCCATTTAGGAAAAATATGCCCAGGAGTGATTGTGAATCAGCAGATCTCAGTTCTGGCATGCCGTGTTGCCTCATGTGGTGTGAGTATTTGCCATCCTAAAGGGAGACTGCTGTCTAAATATAGGTATTTTTCAAATAGCAGGGCATCTCAGGGCAAGTTAACCACTTTATTTGTTGCTCAGTGTACAGTTGCTGGAGGAAAAATTTGCTTTGTTGGACTTACTGAGAAGTAATTTTAAATATGCTGCTTTCCTCTAGGAATTTTCTTCTTATTTATTTTTGTTAATACTCACCTGAGGATATTTTCCCGTTGATTTTTATAGAGTGGGAGGAAATGGGAAAGACAGAGTGAGAGAAACACAACAAATTGTTGCCTCCTGCATTGGGGCTGGGAATTGAGCCTGTAACCAAGGTTTGTGCCCTTGACTAGAATCAAACCCTGGGACCCTTCAGTATGTGGGCCAACGCTCTATCTACTGAGCTAAATCAGCTAGGGCCCTCTGGGGATTTTCAAGATTAATTACACTAATTGGAGTTTTTGCCTTATATGCTAGCTTTAGACCCAAACCTTCTGTAAGATGTCACTCCATTATATCTGAGTTCTCTGCCCCCATTCACTTTAGCAGCAGCCTTGCAACCAGCTGCTTACAGTCATTAACAAAGAAGATCCAGATTAGGTTGGCTGATAGTTGATTTGGCTGTCTGCCCAATCCCAGCCTGAGTGAGTTTTGGCGGGGCTATGCCTTTGAAGAATGTGTTTTTGGATTTCCCCTCTGTGATGGAGCTTGAGAGGTATATGTTTGTTCTTGTATTGCCGTTTCAGTTGCTGAAATCACTTTACCTGATCAAATCACAAACTTCTGCTTCCTAGCCTGACATTTCAGAGGGAAGGCCTATTTTGTTAGGGAATGATGACCTGTTATTTATTTATTTATTTTTGTCCTGACCATGGACTTCTTAAGTGTACCAAGAGTAGTACAGTGTAATGATAATTATTAACTTTATTTTTGCAACCTGTCATTGTAATCTCACCCATCGCCCCTGGATTTCAGACCTGTAATCATAAAAAAACCACTCTAGGTAGGTGTGCTCTCTCCTCTGTATCCATTTCCTCCTGTCAGTTTCTGCAGATTTGATCAGTATGTTAATTTTCAGTCTAAAAGTAATGTGTCAGGATTTGCAGAAAGCTGGATGTTTAGATATCCAATTGTCTTGGAGTCAGGCAGAATGTTGGTACAGCCCAATAAAGGACTATTGTTGGGAATTGACATTGGTTGCAAGAGTCTGAGAAAACAACTGTAAGCTTGAGGATGACTGAGCTGGTCACCTGTAGTGGATGTGTTAGCCTGCATGTGTTTTTGCTTGTGCCCTCAGTTCTCCTCGCCAACATCTGAGATTGTTTGGAGTTTTGTGATGAGCTGGAATTTTATGCAAAATTTGCAAGCTTCCAGAAGGTGGCAGAGTGGCATATACCAAATATATACCAAGTATTTCCTTTCTCTTCTGGAAAGAGTCTTTAGGATCCCAAAGAGTTTGCTTTAGAGCATGAAAGCTGAAGGTGGGGCAAAGTCCAGGAAGCAGAGAATCTTGGATAACGCATTTCTAGATGGGCTAATGGGTTTTGTTTGGATCCCATAGGTCTTATAGCTCATTTATCCATCTCTTGTTGCCATAGATGTTAATAATTATCATTACACTGCATTTCCCAAAGCCCAGAGGCAGCTGTTGGCTGTGTCGGTAATTCATGCATTTCTTTAATGTTTGCCAGTGGTTTTTGTAAATATCACTTGGCCTTATCTGCAGTGTATCCCCTACTCCGTGCTGCTGAAGGACCTGGAGATGCGGAATCTCCGGGAACTGGAAGACCTCATTATAGAGGCTGTCTACACTGACATCATCCAAGGCAAGCTGGACCAGCGAAACCAGCTTCTGGAAGTGGACTTCTGCATTGGCCGTGACATCCGAAAGAAGGACATCAATAATATTGTCAAGACCTTGCATGAGTGGTGAGGCTGAAAGATAGAAGGGTCCCTTCTCTCTAGGGAAGGGGTTAGCTAGCCTCTGCTTGGGGAAATATGATCTCCAGGTATTAGCTGGGGCTCCTTGGATCTGGGGTCTTAGGACAGTAAGCCAGAGAATTAGGACATTTGTGACTATAGCTGTGTGGCAACAGTAATCATTTCAGGCCTCCTAGTGCCTTGGTTGTAAAATAGTCTTGTCCCAGTGTAGCTGGGGACTATTTAATGGTAGGCTGTAAAATGCCCAGGGTTGGCAGGTGGAGCCTCTGAAACCTTAGCTATGTGACACAGACCCTGTACTTTGCAGACTCAGGAAGTTAGTGTTGATAAGATTCTTTGGATAAGAGAATCCATGTTTAGCATCAGTAACATTGGGCTAGTATTTATAAAAACATTTTGAAGGATAGTGGAGACGAGGAATGGGTTACTCTAAGTTGGAACACAGACACACTATATTAATATAACTATATTCTGGTATATAAAAAGTGGGATATTTGCAAGTACTCTATTTTAATAGAATTTGATGTGTGCAAGAGCTATTTCAGGTTCTACAAGGGTTGTTATGAAGTTACTTAAATGACTTGGGGCTTATACAGCCAGATGGGCTTAGTTGGAGATGAGGTTTTAGCTGAGTTTTGAAGGAGGGCCAGCGGTAGAGCTAGGTTGGAGCTGAGGAGAATATGTTCCCAGGCAGGCTCATGGCATTTTGGAGGTCAGGAAGCAGAGTAGACGAGCTTTGTGCTGAGTGAGAGGGAAATTATTTTCCATAAAATGGATGAACTCTCTGGCTTATCCTCAGGAGGAGTATATCCAGAAATGATTGGCCCAGCTTTGACTCTCTGGTGTCTCATGCCCCAACCTCTACCAAGTTTCCCTCACTTTAGCTACTATTGGGCCCCAGGGCATGTGCTGCCCACCTCTCACCCCGAGTTATAGCCCAGGGGGGATCCCAAACACTTTCCCTTTACAACCTCTGACCAAAGCAAGAGTTTTTAAAAGACTGTAGAACTGTTAAATAGGAAATAAACTTAGAAAATATCCCTAGCATAAAAATGGTCTGGCGTACACAATCTGGCTTTCCAACCACTACAGTTGGATGTCTTAGGCTGTTTTTGAGATGGCTGACAGTTTTCATGTCCATGGTCTGGCTTCTTATGTTTTTAGCCTCCAGTATGTTTCTACCTAAAGGTGGCATCCTAACCCCCATCCCAGGATGTTTACTGGTGCAGATTCTTAAAACTTGTGTTTAGGCATTGGAGTTCAATTTGAAACAAAATTGGAATGCAGAGAGGTACAACAAATATAGCTGATTACAGCTATTGAATCTTAAGTGAAGGGTATGCGGGTATTCATTGTACTACTCTTTCAACATTTTTTAGGTTTAAAATTTTCAAAATAAAAAGTAGGGAAAAGAAAATGAGGGGGAGGACAGGAAGTAATTTAAATTTCTGAGAAAGGGGACAATCTTCAAAATATAAGTTTTTAGAACATAATTTTTTTCTCTCAAGATATGTGTAAACTCTCTCCTAATTCCTTTCCTATGGGATACAGAACTTGGAGATAAAGGCTGTATTCCAAGAAACTACCACAGCCTCCATATTTGTCTCTTTGTGCCCTATGTTATATGCCCTGTTTAGAAATGCTTGTCTTTTGGAAGGAGTATGGGGAGGAGCCCTTGTAAGGAGTTGGGAGGGAGATTTTGGAGTCTGCAGGAGAGCTCCCAGACCTTTATATGGCTCAGGATTGGCTGTCTCCTCTGCAGGTGTGCCGGTTGTGAAGCAGTTCTGCTAGGCATTGAGCAGCAAGTTCTGAGAGCCAACCAGTACAAGGAGAACCACAGCCGAACTCAGCAGCAGGTAGAGGCAGAGGTAAGGAAGAGAATTTTGTTCCCTTGCTCCAGAGGATCCCTGTTTGTTCCTTTATCTTGTTACTCTTGTTGTAGATTAGATAATCAGACATCAACAAACAGACTCTGGCTGGGTGCTGGGGTAGAGATGAGTGTGACTCTAAGTTAGGATTAAAAAAAAAAAAAAGAAAAGAAAAGAGCCAGGACACATGGATTTGTTAAGGCTCACTGATACAAAACAGGGCTGTGGAGATCCCTGCTGACAGAACCTGAGGCTGCCACCAGGTGGCAGTACAGATCAGGTTAAGTTCAAGAGAAATTAATTTGCAGAAAAGGCTAAAGATCTCTTCGATACCAATCTACTGATTTACTAATAATCATCTTCTAGGAAATCTGGAACAGACCACAATGAGAGGAAAGGGAGCATGATCAAAACCTAGAGCCTTGTCAGTTTATCTAAAAGTCGATTTTTAGAGAGAGGGGACGGGAGGGGAGAGAGAAAAACATCAATGTAAGGACAATGTTGATTGGCTACCTTCTTTCTGCATATCCCTGACGGGGGACTGAGCACACAGCCTGACCTGGGCATGTTCCCTGACTGGGGGGGGGGGGGGGGGGGGTGGGAAGGGTGGGGGGGTATGAACTGGCAGCCTTTTGGTGCATGGGACAATGTCAAAACAACTGAGCCACACCGGCCAGGGCAAGTTTTTTTATTCAGTAAATGATGGTCGGAGTACTGAGTGTAGGTTGTTGATCATTCCCCAGCAAAGGCTTACTAAATATTTGTTGACTAGAAAAGAAAATAAATCTACAAAGAACAAAAGTATAATTCTGTAATTTTCTGTTGGTATTTATGCTTCTGTTACACTTGACCTAATTTTTTTAGCCATTCTATCAACTGAGTTGGTGATCTTTCCTTATTTGTCCTTAAATTAGATTGCTTTTTCTCAGAGGGAAAAACTTGATATTCTTCCCCCCCTCACCCTCCCAATTTTTATAACAGCAGCTTCCCTTCGGTGAGTTATTGCTTCAAGAATGTTCCCTCGCCAAGTCTGGTTTGGCTTAGTGGATAGAGTGTCAGTCTGCGGACTGAAGGGTTCCAGGTTTGATTCTGGTCAAGGGTTGCATGTGCTACAGTACCTTGATTGCGGGTACATCCCCAGTGGGGGGTGTGCAGGAGACAGCTGATAGATGTTTCTCTCTCATTGATGTTTCTGACTATCTCTCTCCCTTCCTCTCTGTAAAAAAAAAAAAGAACATTCCCTTTTAGTGCAGTCATTTCTTACTTGTTGCCTAAGAATATTCTCTCCCTTTCACAGAAATAACATATTAATAAGTTAGAATTCTAGCATACCTGGGGAAGATAGAGTAATAGCATTGTGATCTGTTTCATAGTCTCTGAACAAGTACTCTGGAGGGAAGGAAACAATTGGTGGAAGCATCAGAGCATCTCCTTGTTTGTATTTTGACTTTGGAGCATGTTTTTCTTCATATTTGTATGTGCATATGTCTGATGTTGTGTGGAATGTTAATATATAGCTACCATTCCATTTACAAAGTAGGCTTTGTTTGAGTCATGTAGGTAATAAAGTGTAATTGGACAAAGTAAGCCCCGTTTTCCATGACGCAGAAAATCCCCCAGGAGTTAGGTTAGTGACAGTCTTGAGGCTTGTTGGCTGTTAGAGCGCACCAAAGGGTGCCTCCTGGTTCTTTCTGGCGAGTGTTCTATCCATCTCCCAGCTCTTTCCCACTGTGGACTCTGCTTTTATCTTCCTTTGCTTTGTCTCACAACTGAATGACGTTTTCCTACCCGGGAAGCTCTGCTCTTTCCTTTTTCCATGAAGAGGAGGAGGTACTGCTAGGCAAGTATAGATGGGAGGCAGGTCGGTGTGGGCTAGAGTGGTCAGGGCAGGTTTGTGGGAAAGGGGCTTGACTACAGGGAGGGTCAGATGTCTAGCTAAGGAGGAAGCTTGCCCAGGATAGAATAACAGGGGACTTCAAAGGTGAGATGAATGACAGCTCTGGCCAAGACACAATGGACTAGCTTGGCTTGAGTGAAAAATGTGCGTTGGGGGAAGGAAGGTACAGGATTATGAGTGGTGTTTCAGATATGGAGAGAGAACCAAGCTTTCCCTTGGGGATACATCTCATTTCTTTTCCTTGTATGTGACCAGGGTCACCGAGCACCCAAAATAAGGACTTATTGGGAGGGCAGTACTTGAGGAGGCATTTGAATCAAAAGGGGGCAGGATGAGGGTAATTGTGCTTTCGTCTGTTTATTTGGTGAAAAGCTTTTGACAGGATTCTGAATCAAAGACTTTTACATGGAATTGAGTTACCAAGAGACGGGGAGTCTGCCTCACCCTGGTGGGGAGTGGTGGTAGGGATGGGAAGAGAACACAAATGTGCCCTCTGTGAATAGAGCTGGTGAGAACCTGTGATATCAGATTATGTTAAAGGATGTGAAACTGGGAGTGCTGAACCTTTTTTTGGGGATATATATATATATATATATATAGAGAGAGAGAGAGAGAGAGAGAGGCAGGCAAACAGGAAAGTATTTTAGTTAGTTAAACTCTGGGGGACTGTTGAGAGGCTGATGGGAGAGCTGTCTTGGTGTGTGGGGTGCATGTGTTACAGTACCAAGTCTGCTGGTTGGGCTGGCAGGTCAGGAACTGAAAGCTCACTTCTATGACTGTCCTCCACAGATATTCACAAAAACATTCAAAGGTAAACATAGAAGGGTGTTGTAGGAGCTCTGTACTTGGTGAACAACAAACTGGAAGCTAATTTGAAGATGATAGAACCTTCATAGCAGAATAGTACACAGATGGTACAGAGAATGTGTAGTCTGACATGGAAAAGTGTTCAGGAGTTGCTTAAATAGATTTGAGCTCTTCCTTTGTTGAGTGAAGAAAGGTATCCTGAAAAACAGTAGGGTGATAGCATTTTGCTAGTTTTTTTTTTTTTTACTACATTTCCATCATTTATCAGTTAGGTGGCTCTAGTTGTTTATTCAGGAAGCGCTTGGGGAGTAGAATCCCCAGACTTCTTGTGGAAATATTTGGTTTCATACATGAACAGTAGCAGTCAAATTCTTTGTCATCCTTTCTTTTTCGAAGGCCATTTTAACCACTGCTTTCTTTCACTTCTTTGCCAAATGGTCCACTTCCACGTGGCTTTTCCCCTCTTTTCAACGAAGCAGGCATTAGTTCCACTTCTTTGCTCGACTCATTTCCACATATCTCCCATGAGTAGCTCCAGCTTATTTCTCCTCATCTGGGTAAAGGTAATTTCACATTTTCTTGCAGAGGATTCTGGCTTCTTCCGTAGGTGGCCCCCATTAGAACGAGAATGAGTTTCGGTGGGTTTCTGGTGCTTACAGAAGGAGCACACAAATTCTGTGTCTCCCTCCAGGTTACCAACATCAAGAAGACCCTCAAGGCCACAGCATCCTCCTCGGCTCAGGAGATGGAGCAACAACTGGCCGAACGGGAGTGTCCCCCTCACGCCGAGCAGAGGCAGCCCACCAAGAAGATGTCTAAAGTGAAAGGTCTGGTTTCCAGCCGCCACTAGGGCCGGCTGGGGCAGCTGGCACTCACCAGGCCTGGGCAGGTGGGGAGGGGACACCTAGGGCCTATTTCCTCCTCTCTCTACCTTCAGTGAGTTCCAGACCTGCCCGTCCCCTCACCAGCGCCTCCCCATCCTGTTGGTACTGTTCCAGAAGAACCGTTAACTCCTTTCCCTCGACCACACCCTCCTTCCCCAGTTTCTCCCTTCAGACTCAGGGGCTCCACTGATGCCATCCCAACAGGGTCAACACTGCCCAGCTTCCCTCCAGGAGGTTCTTGTCTCTGTTTAAGGGCTTGTCTCTCCCAGTTTTTCTTTTGCTCCATGTCATTTGGTCAGGCTGGTCATAGCCAGAGGCAGCTTTAACCAGCCCACAGGGATGACTGCACAGGAGGCTCCTCTGAGTGAGGAGGGGGCACTCCTCCAGCCCCATGTACCACAGTACCCACAATGGTGCAGGCACTCTAGCCAGGTCTCAAAATGCTTTGTTTTCCTTCCCCTGCCTTGTCCCTTGTTGGCAGCTCCAATCAGGCCATGGAGGGATGTGATGCTGGGCTATGTTTACTCAGCCTCTTAAGCCCAGCTCAAATCTCTCATTAGTTGGGAGCATTAGGTTAACTGATGTCTGGTATCTGAGCACCCGTGGAGGGTGCTGTGGGTCTGCTCGGTGGCAGAAACTTCTTCCAGCTTGGTGTTCTCTGCTGCCTGACTACTCAGACTGGTTTTCGGTGTGAAGGCCCAGCTGCCCACTGGGACTGTCTGCCAATACTTGCTCTCCCCAGATCTTTAATTACTCCTGGCTGCATCTGTGGTGGGGATGGTGGTGCTGAGGCCCAGCCTGCTGGGGAAGGACCTGTTGCTGCTTCTGTCTGTTTCTTTCCACTCCTCCTTGGCTAATGACCCAGAGCCCTCTGATGATGGCATTCTCTTGGCAAGAGAAAAGGACTTGACTAGCCTTTCTGAACTTGAACAGTTTCAGGTTATATTTTAATTTTTTTTTTGTACAGGTTCTGATTCTAATACATTTCAACATGCCTTTTTCCCCCCTCGTGTCAATATTTGTTATAGATCGCCGGGGATTATTCACTTGCTTGGAGGGTGGCGTGTGTGTGTGTATGTGTGTGTGTGTGTGTGTGTGTGTGTGTGTGTGTTTAAGGGGAATTGGAGGTCTGGACTAATTAAAGTTCACCGAAGGAAAAAACATATTTTAGAACAAAAATTAAAGTGTAGTTACAGTGTGACTGGTGTGCGGGGTTGCATAGCTGGCACATCTGGAGGAGCTGGGATCAGGGTGCTCCAGGAAAATGTCCTGCTGTGTCAGTACCTGGAGAAAATCCATATCTCCTTTTCCAACATGTCCAGCAACTGCCTGCTGCTGACCAGATGTTAACAGTTATTCTCGTTTCCCCTTTAAGCTGGTCCATGTGCCCATATAACATTTTGTCCAGTGGGAAAGTTTAATTCCCAATGTATGTTTCGTGAAACCTCTTGACAGATGCTCTGTGGAAAAGGGGTTCTGTTGTTAAATAAATTTGGCACATCCTGCATCACATATCCTCATTGGAAATTCATTCTTGTGGTTTCAGAGAAGGCCTGGGTGAGGTAGCCTGTTCCCACACTGATGTCACCACCAAATCATTTGGATACCTTGTGGAACACATTTTGGGGAAGTTTCTAAACATCATATTTCTCAAAAATACCTCTCAGCTTTATAGGTTTTTCTATAACTACAGTCATGTGTTGCTTAATGATGGGATATATTCTGAGAAAAGCATTGTTAGGTCATTTCGTTGTGTGAACATTGTAGGTGCACTTACACAAACCTAGATGGTCTAGCACAGTGGTCGGCAAACCAGCTCGCAAGCCACATGTGGCTGTTTGGCCCCTTGAGTATGACTCTTCCACAGAATACCATGGTTTGGGTGAGTCTATTTTGAAGAAGTGGCGTTAGAAGAAGTTTCATTTTAAAAAATTTGGCTCTCTAGTCCTGGCTGGTTTGGCTCAGTGGATGGAATGTCTGCCTGCGGACTGAAGGGTCATGGGTTTGATTCTGGCCAAGGGTACGTGCCTGGTTTGTGGGCTCTATTCCCAGTGGGGGGCGTGTGGGAGGCAGCTGATTGATGGTTCTCTTCCATCATTGATGTTTCTGTCTCTCTATCTCTCTTCCTTCCTCTCTGAAATCAATAAAGAAATATATTTAAAAAAATTTTGGCTCTCAAAAGAAATTTCAGTTGTTGTACTGTTGATATTTGGCTCTGTTGACTAATGTACCGACCACTGGTCTAGCCTACTGACACCTCAGCTGTTTGGTATAGCCTATTCTTCGGTTACAAGCCTATACAACATGGTACTGTATTGAATATTGCAGACCTTGAAAAGGTACAGTAAAAATCAGGTATAAAAAGAAACAGTGGAACATTTACCATGAATGGAGCTTGCAGGCCTGGAAGTTGCTCTGAATGAGTCAGTGAGTGGTGAGTGAGTGTGAAGACTAGGACATGACTATACCACTGCAGACTTTATAAGCACTGTACACTTGGGCTACAATGAAGTGATAGAAACGGTTTTTCTTTAATGATAAATTAACCTTGGTTTACTGTAACTTTATCCTATATAATGAAAAAGGCAATATGCAAATTGACTATCACACCCTCACAAAGATGGCTGCCTATAACCAGGCCAGCAGGAGGGTTAGTGAGGAACAATTAAATGGCAGAACAAGCAGGCTGCATGGGGCAACCAGGCCAGCAGGGGGGTTAGTGAGGGATGACCAAACAACTGAACAGGTTGCATGGGGTGACCAGGCCGGCAGGGGGGTTAGTGAGGGGTGACCAAATGACTGAACAGGCTGCATGGGCGACCAGGTCAGTGGAGGGGCTGTGAGGGGTGACCAGGCTGGCGGGGAGCCAGTTAGGGGCGATCAGGCCAGCACTCAGACACAGTGAGAGGTGATCAGGTTGGCAGGCAGGTGAGCGATTAGGAGCCAGTGGTCCAGGATTGTGAGAGGGATGTCCTGGTTTGGAGAGAGTGCAGGCTGGGCTGAGGGGACCTACTTCCCCTACCTCCCCCGCCCCATGAATTTTGTGCACTGGGCCTCTAGTTACTTTATAAACTGAACATTTTAAAAACTTTTTGGTTCTTTTGTAATAACATTTAGCTTAAAATACACATTATACAACTGTGCTAAAATATTTTCTTTTTATCTTCTATAGCATAAGCTTCTCCTGTTTTTAATGTTTTATTTTTCTTTCCCTTTTTAAACTTTTAAAAAATATATATATTTTATTGATTTTTTTACAGAGAGGAAGGGAAGAGGGATGGAGAGCTAGAAACATTGATGAGAGAGAAACATCGACCAGCTGCCTCCTGCACGCCCCCTGCCGGGGATGTGCCCACAACCAATGTACATGCCCTTGACGGGAATCGAACCTGGCACCTTTCAGTCCGCAGACGGATGCTCTATCCACTGAGCCAAACCGGTCTTGGCATCACTATTTATTTATTTATTTATTTATTTTTATTGATTGATTTTTTACAGAGAGGAAGGGAGAAGGTTAGAAAGTTAGAAACATCGATGAGAGAGAAACATCGATCAGCTGCCTCTTGCACACCCCCCAACAGGGGATGTGCTCACAACCAAGGTACATGCCCTTGACCGGAATCGAACCTGGGACCCTTCAGTCCACAGGCCAATGCTCTATCCATTGAGCCAAACCGGTTTCAGTGCACTTTTTATACTTTTTAATTAAAAGCTAAGACACAACTACATGTCACCCTAGGCCTACACAGGGTCAGGATTATCAGTATCACTGTCTTCACCTCTTATCCCATTGGAAGGTCTCCAGGGACACTAATGGGCATGGAACTGTCATCTCCTGGGATGTATTTCTTCTGGACCGCCTCCAGAAGGACCTACCTGAGCTTCTTGAGGAGGTGTCACTCTTCAGAGAGTGCTAAATTGGCAGGCCCATCATCATCAGGTGATAGGAATTTTAATCTCAGGAGATCAGTGTCCTATAAGCCATCTGTCATTGACTGAAATGTTGTGCAGTTCATGACCATATTCTTTCTAGACCCAGAATAGGCACACATGCTTTCAGCAAGTCTTTCATTTATGTCTTTCCCGCTAGTGAGCAGAGAGGACGTGTGGCTTAACTAGTGGGAAATGTATGATTGTTGTTTGTCAACAATGGTCCTGAGGAGCTGAAGGTTCATCTCCACAGTTTTGCTGCTTCCTTCAAAATAGAAATTACAATAATGAGAACACCTTTGTAAAGTGTTCTGTGGAGTGCCTTCATGGACAATAAGTCATGAATCCCTTCCACTCAGACCATCTCCTGAAGTTGGTAAGGGTATTAATGCAGTTATCCTAACTTGACACATGAGCAAATGAAAACTCAGAGTTTTAAAGTATCCCATGATAAATGTCAAAATGAAGACTCCTGGATCTCTTGACCAGGCCAGCTGGGCAGGAGGGTGGGGGCGTGAGGGGTGACCAGGCTGGCAGGGGGGCAGTTAGGGGTGACCAGGCAGGCAGGCAGGTGAGCGATTAAGAAGCCAGTGATCCAGGGTTGTGAGAGGGATGTCCAACTGCCAGTTTAGGCCCAATCCTTCTATTATTATATAGGATAAGGTTGCAAGTGTTGCCACCTACATTCTAATTTAGTCTGCTCTCCAAACTAACACTTGGCATCCTGCTTGTTCCTCTGAGGGCTCATCTTGCTTTTAACTGACACCAATGCACCACAGTCTGCTTTCCAGACCCACTCAGCCACTGCATAAAGAAGCTGAGAGTATGGAGCTGGGGCTCCAGGAATTGTGGGAAGAGCTGGAATGCTCGTTGCTTTGTTGGGACTCTGGTAGGAGGCCGGGACTCTGGGCTTTGCAGTTTCCCATCCTGCATGCTGTGACAGCAGGGTTTAGGTTTGAAGCATGCCCAATTATTTTACATGTAAACACAATGTTCAGAAGATGTGTCCTCATCAGCAGGGATTAAAAAGAATTAAATAATATTTAATACTGTTGGCCTGGTAAATGAAATTCATGCACATTAAAGGAATTAATTAAAGGAAATATTTTAATATTGCTATTTGTCAGGGATGCAGGCAGGCAGCACCATATCCTAGGTCAGGGATGCAGGCAGGCAGCTTCACCTCAGCGCTGGGCAGGCCTGCGCATGCCTCTGCTGGTGGCCACCTTCACTGGGGGCCACTGCACCTCCGCACAGGCCGTGGATGGCCTGCTCATGACCCCTGGCCGTGCAGCCTCTGGGCTGGGCGGCGCCGAAGGCCTGTGCACACCCCCATTGGTGTCCGCTTCCGCTCGGGGCCACTCCCAGGCCAGATGGCGCCGCATGCCTGCTCGTGATCCCCGGCCGGGCGGCCTTTGGCCTGGATGGCACCGCTGTTGTCCGCTGCTTCCACTGGGACCCACTCCCGGGCTGCGCCAGTCACTGGTGGTGACTGTTATGGCGTCCAGGCTAATTAGCATATCCCTTTATTATTATATAGGATAAGATTGGTAGTAGTGCCTATGGACTGGCTCTAGCCACCTTGGACCCTAAGCTGTCTGCTTCCTGTAGTCCTCTATGGTCTTTATTGTTTGCCCAAGTGAGAGGCATCATGGTTTCTACTTGGCTAATGTTAGGGAAGTGGTCAAAGCCCTCAATATGGCCTGCTTTTGTGTTCCCAATTTGAGATGACCACCATTGATAGTAGGACTCACTCACCCTGCAAACTTTTGAGTCATAGGAAATAGGGTGGAGACCAAAAATCTAAGATGATAAACAGCTTGTGATAATTTTACATATTTGCTATTTTTTCGTCTCTCATGTGCTGGGTTGCCTGAAATCAAACTACTTTACAATTTTTGTACTAGAATCAGTATTCTAACAGCCTGAAACTTCAAACATTTTTTTAATGCAGTCATTAGTTGATTTAAAAAAAATACATATTTTTATTGATTTCAGGGAAGAAGAGGGAGGGGGGGAGGTAAGGAGGGAGAAAGGAAAGAGTAGAGAGGGAGAGGGAGAGGGGGAGGGAGGGAGGGAGGGAGGGAGGGAGGGAGGGAGGGAGGGAGAGAGAGAGAGAGAGAGAGAGAGAGAGAGAGAGAGAGAGAGAGAGAGAGAGAGAGAGAGAAATATCAATGTGATGGGAATCAAACCATAACCTCCTGGTTCATAGGTCGACGCTCAACCACTGAGCCATGCCAGCCAGGCTATTAGTTGATTTTTACTGGACCTGAAGGACTACTTGGGTCACACTACTTGTCTTTTCTGAGAATCTGCGCAGCCATGAATATCTGCTTCATTAAATCTTTTCTTATGGTTATATTTGAGATTACAGGTTGAAATATACTTTTTAATAAGCATGAATTTTGCCTTATATCTCCTTTACATTACCTCGAGGGCATTAAGTTGGTGTCCTTGAAGGCCCCTCTCCTAGGCTTGCTGCCCCTCTCTGTGTTCTCCCAGGACCTTTTCTCTGATGTGCATCCCCGGTGTCTCCTCTTCCTAAAAGGCCAGCAGTCATTGGGTTAGGGCTATACC